TCTTGCTCTCTCTCCTCTCCTTCCCTCGTGGTACTCTCCCTTCCTCTCGTGGCTGGGGGGCGAGGCTGGATCGGCCGGCGCGCGGGGAGGCAGGCCCCCACACTCTGCCCCTGGTGATGGCTAGGGGCTGAGCTCTTCGAGCTGGACCACCACCTCAGGGCTTGCCCCTTGGTGGTGGTGGCGCGATGGTCTGCGCCTCTCCTTCCCTCGCCCTCTCGGTCCCGACACCCCTGCGAGGGGCGGGCCGCCGCGAGGCTGGTGCATTCAGCGAGCTCCAAATTAGGATCCAGAGGGGGGGAGGGGCCCAGATAGGCGGGTTGCGCCGACCTTCGCGCGTAGGTTGCCCGCGCAGGGCCCGCGCGCCAGAGCCCTCTTCTCCACGCGGCACTCCGCGTGGACGGCCCCGCGAGGTCCTCCTCCTCCTCCTCCTCCTCCTCCTCCTCCTCCTCCTCCTCCTCCTCCTCATGCAGCCAGAGGACATCTTCGGGGCCCGGGAACCCTCGCATGCTCGATCCAACCGTTGGGCACGTTTTGTGGCCACGTGGGGTTTCTCTCAGCTCAACCCTCCGTCGGGCCAGGGACGGGCCTCCACAGTGAGGTTGCCCTTCTGGTGCCAGACTCTCGCCCTCCGACCAGGAGACACCCATCACGGAGGGGGCAGCGACAGTGCACCCCCCTCGCGCTCCCCCCCGCCCTCCCTCCCCTCTACTCGGTGCTCCGGGTAGTCGGGTCGGGTCGGGTTGGGTCTCCCCTTTCGTGGGGTGGCTTCCTCTGCCTCGTCCTGTCACTGTCCCGTACTTGCGGAGTACGTCGACCAGGCAGTGTAGCGGGGATCGGACGAGCCCCAGGCAGGCGCCCCCTGCCTGGGCCCCCCCACACACTGCGGGGAGTCTCTGAGTTGCCCCTCCTGTCCTGCTTCGCTCTGGCTGGGGCCCGGGGGCGGAGCTGTTTGCTCGAGGTGGTGTCTTTTTTTGGAGGCCTGTGCGGAGTTTCTGAGTCAGTTCTGGGACCGCCTGGTGCCGCTTTCGGCGCCGCCCCGGTTCGCGTCGCGTGCTTGGGAGGAGTCCAGCGCCGCCCCGAGATTTTGCACAGGCAGAGCACAGCCTCCGCAATCTCTCCCCTCCGCCCCTCCAGCGCTAGCGGTCTGGCTTCCAGAGCCGTCGCAGCAAGGTCGCTTCCGAACCCTCTCCGGGTCGTGGCCCCTCGGCGTTCGATGCTTCCGCCGCCAGCTCAATGGGAGCACACCAACCAACCAACCAACCCTTCCTCCTCCTCCTCCTCCTCCTCCTCCTCCTCCTCCTCCTCCTCCTCCTCCTCCTCCTCCTCCTCCTCCTCCTCCTTCCTCCCCCTCCTCCCTCCTATCTCCTCTTCCCTCGTCCTGCCTCCTCCCTCTTCCCTCCCTCCCTCCCTCCCTGCCTCCCTCCCTCCTCCCCTCCCTCCTCCCTCCTCCGCCCCCCTTTCGCCTTCCTGCCTCCTCCATCCTCCCTCGCCACTTGTCCCTTCCCCCTCCTCCCTCCTCCTGCGCTGGAGCACGGGGAGGCTGAAGCGGGCCAGCAAGCAGCAGCAGAAGGGGGAGGCGGTCCGTCCCTCTGGCCGTCCTCTGGGCAACTCTGCTAGATACGCCCAGGAGGAGGAGGAGAAGGAGGAGGAGAAGGAGGAGGAGGAGGAGGAGGAGGAGGAGGAGGGAGAGAGGAGGGAGGAGGAGAGGGAGGAGGGAGGAGGGGGGAGGGGGAGGAAGAGGAAGGAGGAAGGAGGAAGGAGGAAGGAGGAAGGAGGAAGGAGGAAAAAAGGAAGGAGGAAGGATGGAGGAAGGAGGAAGGAATAATGAGGAAGGAAAAAGGAGGAAAGAGGAAAATGAAGGAGGAGGAAGAAAGGGAGGAGGAGGAGGCGGAGGAGGATGAGGATGAGGAGGAGGAGAAGGAAGAGGAGGAGGAGGAGGAGGAGGAGGAGAAGCAGGAATGAGGGGGGGGAGGAGGAGGAGGAGGGAGGAGGAGGAGGAGGAGGAGGAGGAGGAGAAGCAGGAATGAGGGGAGGAGGAGGAGGAGGAGAGGAGGAGGAGGAGGAGGAGGAGGAGGAGGAGGAGGAGGAGGAGGCGGAGGAGGAGGATGAGGAGGAGGAGGAGGAGGAGGAGGAGGAGGAGGAGGAGGAGGAGGAGGAGGAAGGAGGAGGAGGAGGAGGAGGAGGAGGAGGAGGAGGAGGAGGAGGGGGAGGGGGAGGAGGAGGAGGAGGAGGAGGAGGATTTTTCACTGTGTGCATCGCCAAGCCAAACTCTGCAGGCAGGTTAAAACTGGGCGGAAGAAAATGGCGGGGAACACGGGCCCCTACTTGCCCTTGAAGTTCATGAAAGCGACGAGCGGCTTGAAAATGAAGACAAGCACGAAGCCGACTACGACGCAGAACAGCGACGCCTCAGAGCAGAAAACGCCGTAACGCTGAAGCCAAAGCGTAAGATCCTCAGCTCGAACAGGCACCCGCACTCTCCTCGTGCTCCACACCGACCTCGAAGCACGTGACGAGATCGTGAAAGTCCATTTCGCCAGCACGTGCAAGAGAAACATAGGCTTCCTGCAAAATGGGCGAGGCGCGCCACCAAGCTGCACGGAACCTCGCCTCGAGCCTCTTCCACTGACGCGCTGGCACCACCTTGGACTTGTTCTTCATGAAGACAATGACGTCCTTCAGCGCAGAGCGAACGTCGTCAGCCGACGCCCGCAAGGACCCTCCGCTCGCTGAAGCTGAAATCGCACTCTGAGCACGCACCGCTGCAGCAAAAGACGAAGAATCGTCGCAACAAAAGTGCCCATCCAGGCTATCCTCGCTCTGGCCATCAACCTGGTCAGGAAATGAATTATGAACTTCATCAGGAATATCCCGTGCAAGAACCTGAGGTTCGTGAACAACCTGTCGGACTCCAGCTTCCCCTCCTTCTTCACGAGGCTGAACTGGTCCCTGGAGGTCGGGAACATCAGGATCCCCTTCGGCGATGTCGAAAAAGATCGGCGCGCTCTCGGCAAGCTTGTCGTCCTCGCCGTCCTCTACAAACGCTGACTCCTGCTTCCCGTAGCTGCGCGCCTCTTCCTCCATGGGGCGTTGGGAAACCTCGAAGGCGGCGGAGAACGAGGGGTCTTCAGCACCTGCTTCAGCTTGACCAGCTCCTCCTTCTCCTCCCCGCGGCCCTTGAACTCCCCCTTGAACACCACTTCCGGCGCCTGAGACCGAACGCTGGGCATCCTTGCCGCAGGCGGCGGCAGATCCTTCGCCGCGCAGGTATTCTGCTCGAACTTGCCCACGAAGATGCCCTTCTCGCTGAGGCTGCCGCTCCTCTTGCCCAGATGCTTGATCGTCTTCATCCCGTCGTCGTCCTTCACGCGCCCGAACTTCCCCTTCCGCTCGATCTCCGACTTGGTGTCCAGCTGCTCGCTCATGTCCTTGCTGGGCGCCATACCCATGGCCTTGAGGTTCTGCAGCTGGACCGTGGCGTAGGTGGAGAACGGGCACAGCAGGGACTGGTACAAGTGAGACGTAACTGTCACATTCTGGCGCGAAACGTCCGTCAGCGAACTCCGTGCTCCCAGCCATTCCTTGGGTGGGCGCAGCGGAGGAGGAGGAGGGAAGACAAGGAGAACGACGAGGAGGAGGAGGACGAGGAGGAGGTGGAATGATGAGGAGGAGGACGAGGAGTAGGAGGAGGAGGACGAGGAGGACGAGGAGGACGAGGAGGACGAGGAGGAGGAGGAGGAGGAGGAGGAGGAGGAAGAGGAGCTGCGAGGAGAGAGGAGAGAGGAGGGAGGAACGAGGAGGGAGGAAGGAGGAGGGGGAGGACGGAGGAGGAGGAGGAGGAGGACAATGAGGAGGATGATGAGGAGGAGGACGACGACGACGAGGAGAAGAGGAGGAGGAGGAGGAGGAGGGAGGGGAGGAGGGAGGGAAGGAGGGAGGAGGGAGGAAGAGGGAGGAGGGGGAGGAGGGGAGGAGGGGGAGGAAGGGGAGGAGGGGGGGGAAGGAGTAATGAGGAAGGAGGAAGGAGGAAGGAGGGAGGAGGGAGAAGGGAGGAGGAGGAGGAGGAAGAGGAGGAGGAGGAGGAATCTGAATAATACACATAGCCATACACAGAAGAATCTGCAGAATACGCATAAGACGACGATACATAGTAATAATACTACGAATAAGAAGAATACGTATTATACGAACATGTATACTAATGACACTAATAATACGCAGACCAATAATTTGAATACTACGAAGCACATGCGTAATACGAGCCGTACCAATATGAGTAAGAACGGTAATACCAATACTACACATAAGACTTGTATACTCATAGTAGTAACAACACTAATACGTATCTTTATATTGCGAATCATTGGTATACTACTAGTACCAGCACTATACATACGTACACTACTCATAATGCCAAGAGTAACGCGACTATTTATAACACTAAGACTTATACTGTTGTCAATACTAATACTTATACGACAAATACTTATATAACTTATAAGAACTATACTCATAATAATGTGTCTACTCTAATACTTAGAATAATATTTCTTCGTCATACGACTAATACGTTTGAGACTTACAATAGCAATACGACTACGTATTACAATATTTATAATAGTAATAGTAATACCAATAGTAAATAATCTAATGATATTAATCATAATAATACTAGTACTACTGGTCATACTAATAATCGTAATACTAATAGTTGTAATAACATGAGTAGTCGTATTAATAGTAATACAACTAATAATATTAATCGTAGTACTACGAATACTACGAACCATAATGCTGATATTATGAATATCAATACTGGTAATGATGATGCCACGAAGAATAATGATACGAATAAGAAGAGGAATAAGGAGGAGGAGAGAGGAGGGAGGAGGGAGAAGGGAGGAGGGGGAGGAAGGAGGACGAGGAAGGGGGAGGGGGAGGGGGAGGAGGAGGAGGAGGAGGAGGAGGAGGAGGAGGAGGAGGAGGAGGAGGAGGTCCGTAGCCATTCTGGCTCAAGCCATTTTGGCTCAAGCCTGCCTTGGGCGCCAGGCGGGCGGCAACGTTGGGTCCTGCGCTTCTCGCCTGCTCAGGGGGAAGCGTTATCCTCTTGCCGCGGCCATGGCCCAGGCGGTGGCTACGGTCCCGCCCCCGCGGGGGGGCGAGCGCAGGCTGCTGGCGGCGATGGCGCCGCTCGTGCAGGCCGCGGCGCATGGGGCAGCGGCTGGAGGCGGCACCCGCGAGGTGGTGGCGGCCGCGGTGGCGGCGGCCGTCCGCACGTGCGCGGAGGTGCTGGCTGAAGGCGATAGCGACGACGGCGAGATCGACAAGGAGGTGGCAGTGCGCGAGGAGCTCGCACGGCCGCACCTGCGGCTCCACGTCGCCGCAGGGCGCGATGGGGTGCGGGCCCAGCCCTCTGGGGCCTGCCGCGCATTCCGCCACTGGGCGCTCCACGCGGGCTTCGGGGGCGGGGCGGCGGCGGCGCCTGCGACGGCGGTGGAGGCCAAGAGGCGCGTCCGCGGGCAGCGCAAGAGAGGCCGTGGCGGCCTGGAGAGGGACCCGCCGCCCGCCGGCACGCAGGAGCTGGAGGGCAGCAGCGGGGACTCCTTCTCCGAGGACGCGTCGGAGATGCCGAACGTGCTGAGCGAGAAGGGGGAGATGAAGGACATCGAGGGCGCCCCAAACTGCAGGGCCACGGACGAGCTGAAGGAGAGGTCCTTGCTTAAGCCAGTGGCGAAGTAGATGGGGGAGCCGACGGAAAAGGCCAGCGAGTACGCCCCAGGCAGCAAGGCTGAGAAGGTGGGGGTACTGGTCTCGGACACGAGCGTTGGGGACGTGCTGGGCCTGGAGAACACTCGCTTCTGCAAGGGGATGTTTCAGTGCGACCCCGAGAAGCATGAGGAGCTGAGGAAGCAGGGCGCGCTGGTCGGGGGCACGGTCGACAACAGCGCGGAGGCTTGCACGCAGGACTGGTTAATCGGGGAGCTGTCCGTGGAGGTGGGCACGCAGACGGTGGACCAAGTCGAGGGCGAGGGGCAGCGGCAAGGCGTCGGCTCCGTCAAGAGCGACGCTGACCGAGTGCCGCCGCTCGAGCACGCGCGGGAGGTCAAGGTCGATCGGTTCATACGCGGAGACCGTGGGCGTTGGGTGGACATGACCTTCGGCCCCGAGGACGAGCTCGACGCGGCGACCTCAACGGAAGGAGCTTTACCTGGCGGTGAAGCAGCTGGTGCTGGAGAAGCCGTTCTGGGTGACGCCTCCTTTTCCGACGTCAAGGGCAAGGGCAAGCGTAAGAAGAAGGGCAACAAGGAGGGCGTGCAGGCCGTGGTGGCACCGGTAGGGGGGATCGCTGCTGCTGGCCGAGCAGCCCGCGGAGCCGTCCATGTTCGACGGGAAGGCGGAGGAGAAGCAGAGGATGCAGGCGGAGGACATCGCGGAGCTGCGGGAGTTCGCCGCGCGCGTGGCGGCAGCCGCCCGCTCTGGGGCCCTCAGCCAAGCAGAGGCTGCGGCCAGCTCGGACTCGTTCTTCGAGCGGGCAGGGGTGCTGGCAGAGGCGGACCCGACCTTCGAGGCGCGGGGGGTGATCGATGCTGACGACCTCAAGGCGCCCGGCGAGGTCTGGTGAGCTTCTTTGACGTGGTCGATTGCTCGGCGGCGGCTGGGGCTCGCTCTCCGTCCCCGTCTTCCTGGCGGTGGACGGCTCCATATTCCATGTTGGAACTGGGACGCGTTCTTCGACGGCCAGTGCGGGATCCTCAAGACATGAGGTGAGGTTGGCCTGCCCCGCGGGCTGCCTTCTAGATAGGACTCAGAGGAGGAGGACTCAGAGGAGGAGGAGGAGGAGGAGGAGGAGGAGGAGGAGGAGGAGGAGGAGGAGGAGGAGGAGGAGGAGGAGGAGGAGGAGGAGAGGGAGGAAGGAGGAGGGAGGAGGGAGGGGAAGAGGGAGGAGGGAGGAGGGAGGAGGGAGAGGAAGGAGGAGGAGGGAGGAGGAGGAGGAGGAGGAGGAGGAGGAGGAAAAGGAGAGAGGAGGGAGCAGGGAGGAGGGAGGATGGGGAAGGAGGACGAGGAGGAGGAGGAGGAGGAGGAGGAGGAGGAGGAGGTCCGTAGCCTTTTTGGTTCAAGCCGCCCTCCAGCGGGCGAAGCCCCGATTTTTTCAAGCGTGCTGGGCGATTTCTCCCCCGCTCTCTTGCGACTGGGGTGTTTTCTGTTGCTCTGGAGTTCGAGGATGGCTACGGGAAGCCCCCTAAGAGGGGCGGCTGGGGCGCGCGCTTCGGCGGACCGACTTGTGGCAAAGCTGCAGGCCGAGGTCAAGCGTCTCAACGGCCAGCTCGTGGAGACGCACGGTCTGCTTGCTGCCCTGGACGAAGACGCGCACATGTTCTTTGGTGGCGAGGTCGGCGAGCTCGGGCCCGTGTTGCGGCTCGTCGTCCCGGTGGTTGCCGCCGGCATCGCAGGCGTGCAAGTCTCTGAGGCGACGCGGGCGCGGCGCAACCTGGCGGAGCACAGGTTCGACATGCTTGCAGAGGTCTTTGCTGGCGCCTCCCTCGCGGAGCTCAGCTGACTCCAGCGCGCGGGCAGGCCGAGGCCAACGGTTGTGGCTGGCCACGCTGCAGGTGCTGGCACTGGCGGCCATGCCCTTCGGGCGGAGGCGGCCGAGTTTATTGAATCGCTTCGCTCATTCCGCCGGCCCATACGGTCTCATGTCTGCCGTTTGCCCGAGGGCCTGGTGTCAATGCGGCGCTTTGGGGGTTCCTGGGGCCGCTTGGGGGACTCCTGGGGCGCTCGGGGGGGCATTTGGGGTGCCTCCTGGGGCCGCTTGGGGGACTCTTGGAGGCCTCCTGAGGGCCTCGTGGGGGCCTCTTGGGGCCTCTTAGGGGCCTCGTAGGGGCTTCTTAGGGCCGAGGGCGCGAAATTTTGTGTCGTGTTCCCTCTCTGGGGCCCCTTTGGGGGTGTTCTTGGGGCCCTCTTGGACCGTCTTGGAGGCTTCTTGGGCCGTCTTCGAGCCCTCTTGGGCCATCTTGGGGCCCTCTTGGGGGCCTCTTGGGCCCTCTTGGGGCGATCTTGGGGGCCTCTGGGGCCGTCTTGGGGCGTCGGGAACCGAAAAGGTGGAAGCTCCAAAATCTTTCAAAAACCTAAGGAAAAACAATGAATTTTGCCTCCGGGGGCCCTCTTGGGAGTGCTCTGGGAGGCCTCTTGGGGCGTCTGGGGGCTATCTTGGGCGTCTTGGAGCGATCTTGTGGCATGTCGGACCCCTCGTGTACCATCTTGGGGGCTCTTGGGGGCCTCTTGGCCTTTCTTGGGGCTCTCGGGGACGTCTCGGAGCCCTGTTGGTGCGGGAGCGCTCCTGGAGCGCTCTGGGGGACTCCTCCCGGGACTCTCTCAGGACCTTGCCGGGGTACTTTTCGTCCGGGGACCCCCAGGGGCCGCCCCGCGCGCGCGAACTAGAGAATTCTTAACCAGTTACCGGAGATCTTAGCACGCCTCTGGCCCGTTGGGCCGGCGCCTCCCTCGCGGAGCTCAGCTGACTCCAGCGCGCGGGCAGGCCGAGGCCAACGGTTGTGGCTGGCCACGCTGCAGGTGCTGGCACTGGCGGCCATGCCCTTCGGGCGGAGGCGGCCGAGTTTATTCCTGGAGCGGGCCGCGGGGTGCCGATTGGCGAGCGTTCGGATTTGGGGCCCTCCGGGCGCGGTGGTCTTGTCCCCCCGCGCCTGTCGGCGCTGTCTGCGCCGTGCGCCGCGCCGAGCAGAAACTCAGGTACATTCGCGAAATTGGATTGCAGCGTACTCTGTGCGATCCGACAGCCAGTTGAGGCAACCTGTCGTCCTCAAGAGGGCCCGTTTGGATCACATTCGCGATATCCTTCGCAGCGCTCTGCTGAGGAGCCAGCCGAGGCAACCTTTCATGCGTGCTAGTCTGGATTACATGATGTTCCACCACAGGACACTGTAGTGGGCAGTAGCAAGCAGAGCAGACCTTCCATTCGGAAGCGTGATCAGTTGGGTTCCCGTGTCCAAGGGCGCGCCAAGGTGATCGGCTCGCGTGGCATCGCTCCGCTAGCGGACGATGTGAGCTGCCCACAGCAGTGAATTGTCCTACTTGTCTTCTGTCAGTAGTCGTAATTGTTGATGGGAGATGAGTTGAACTGGGCTCGCGTGCGGCGATGTGGTCGGGCACCCGTCCGCGGACCTGCGGCTCGCGTGCGGCCGTCCGCGGAGCCCATCGCGCGAATTCGTTGGGCTCGCGTGCGGCGCTGCGGTCGGGCGCCCGTCCGCGGAGCTGCAGCTCGTTTGGGGCGTTGTACTCGTCCACCCGTCTGCGTCAGGCCGTGAATTGCGGGCCGAGACGGTGGGCGACGGTTTTTCTTTGGTTTTGCTGTGCTTTTATGACAATGACTTCTACAGTCACAGAGACACAGGAGGAGGACGAGGAGGAGGAAGAGGAGGGAGGGAGGGAGTGAGGGACAGACGGACGGACGGACAGACGGATGGAAGGACGGAGGGACGGAGGGACAGATGGAAGGAGGAGAGAGCGGGCGCCTGGCCGCGTCGCTGGGCCCGCCGACCCTGCCAGGCGAGCGGCCTTGCGGAAGCCAGCGCCGCCCCTACGCATTCCCCGCATTTTTCCCGCGGGGTCTAGACATGACACTTCGATGAATCCCACACATCTTGCCGGCATGAAAAAATCATTGTCGTGAAAATGACAATGTTTTTTTTCGCGCCTGGTGGAAAAATCGCGCCATGTGCGAAAAATCAAGCCAATGATGACCTGGATGGTCCTGGGTACCAAACGCGCGTATTGGTAGTGAGCGGTGCCTTGAATGATTCTGAAATGACACCTGCATGGTGATGATATCCGGAGGAACGGGACAGGGACGAACACGGAGGTCTATGACGAACTTAAAAGGTGCTGCAGAGTCAGAGGGAGGAGGAAGAGGGGAGGGAGGAGGAGGAGGAGGAGGAGAGAGGAGGAGGAGGAGAAGGAGGGAGGAGGATATGGAGGGAGGAGGAGGAGGAGGAGGAGGAGGAGGAGGAGAAGGAGGAGGAGGAGGAGGAAGGAAGAGGAGGAGGAGGAGGAGGTGGAGGAGGAGGAGGAGGACGTGGAGGAGAAGGAGGAGGAGAAGGAGGAGGAGGAGGAGGAGAACGAAGATGAGGAGGAGGAGGAAGATGATGATGATGATGAGGAGGAGGAGGAGGAGGAGGAAGGGGGGGAGGAACAGGAGGAGGACGAGGAGGAAAAGAAGGACCCAGACCTCTGACGCACGAGGAGGATCGTGAAACATGCTTGCTGCAGGGCAATACCGCCGTTTCTATCGAGGACGCGGCCCCACGTCCTGCACGGCTCCACTCGATCGAGCGCCCGTTGCAAAAGCAACGAGAAACGAGAGAGGATGCGGGGAGGAGGGAATCAACCGAGAGGATCTTTGTCAATGGAAAGTAACTGATGGATGTGGGGGGAGAAGACGAGACACTGCCGCCGCGTGCGCGGGCAAGGGAGCAAGATCCTCCGCGTACTCCTCCTCCGATCGATGTGCCCCGACCTCCTCGAGGCATGGTCTGTTTCACTTCCCTTTCCTATATATCAATTCCTCCGCATGTTCCTCCTCCTCAATATCGTCCTCCTCCTCCTCCTCCTCCTGTGATTCCTCCTCGTCCTCCTCCTCCTCCTCCTCCTCATCATCATCATCCTCCGAGGGAGTGAGCCTGGCAGACAGGTGCCGCGCCCTCACGCTGGTCTCACCCTATCCTGCTGCCTCTCGTTCCCACCCTTCCCCGCATGTGTGTCTGGGCTGTTTAACAGGCCAGAAAAAAAACAGGCAGCTGGTTAAAACATACACATCCACGCTTATATAATTTAAACAACAGCATTTATAAAGTTTCTGGCAGCACCTTTTGCATGAGTGTCACATAAAACGTATCTCCGTGGTGCACGGATTTCGCTGCGGAGCCCATGAGCCGATTCTCGTTCTCGTCGGCGTAGGTCCACCTGCACCGTGGATTGCCGAGCCTTCTGCTCTGCATCACACAGTGGATGGCCACATGGTGCTTGAACACCTCATGACCACCGTAGTTCTGCCAATACGTTAAAAATCTGAGGATGCTTTGCTCCATGTTCCTCGCAACAGCGTCAGACAATTGGCGGGGATTGGACTGCACAAGATCGTGAAACTTTGCCATCTCACTGCAGGCTAACCTCAAGAAGCGGCTGTCACCAGTAAACTTGCTAACGTTCTCCTCGCACAAAAGAGGCAGTAGGTGAACTAGGTGTCTGGACTCCGCTGCTTTTGCCTTCAGTCTTGGCTCACTCACCGTGAGTTGCTTCAACGTGATCGACCTGATTTCGCTCTTTTTGTGCCTGTCCGTGGAGCATGTCTTGTAGTAAGCTCGCATCCTCCTGCGCAGGTGTATCAAGTTGGCACGCACCTTCAAAGACGCGTTTGCCGCCCTACTATTTGCAAAGTTGGATTTGATCAGGTGAACGAAAACGGCTGCTACTAAATATTGCGTGATACCCAAATCGAAAATGTGCATCATATCTAGCGACAGCATCCCCAAGTGGAACCCAGTTACGGCGAATAGCTGCGACACAAAATTGAGTCTTTCATCGCTGTTGTTGTCAAAAAAGTACAATTCGGCTGGGCATGTGACGTGCCTGACCTCGTGGATGTCGGTCACGGCTCCGCCGACCATCAAACGATGGCCTGCTCTGAGACCCAACGCAGGAAACGGTTGAAATAAGCCGTACCCCTTGTATTGTGTATCCAGCCGCATTACGCTCAAAAGTCGCCTGAGTTCCGATGGGGTCCGAACGATCACTCGT